ACTTGCCAAGGGTACACTCAATCCCACCAAACATGTCATCGACAAAGGTGTTGAACAGCACCAGTCCCAATACTGAACCCTGAGGTACACCACTGGTCACTGGTCTCCTCTTAGACAGGAGCTGCTGATTGCAGTTCTTTGAGTACGACCATCCAGCCAATTCCTTATCCACCAAGTGGTCTATGGTCCATCCATCAAATCCATGTGTCTCCAGTTTAAAGACAAGGACACATGTGGGACAGTGTCAAATGTTTTGCACAAGTCCAGGCAGATGACATCAATTACTCTTCCCTTATCCACCAACACTGTAACCCCATCACAGAAGGCCACCAAATCATCTCTCTCCTTCAAGGATTAAGACGCTGTTAGAGCTCTATATGGCTTGACATAATTTTCTCCTAGACTACCTACCTTCTGAGAACAACCTTGTGTTTGCATCCATTTCTTCTTCATCCCTGCAGTTACCAGTAAAGGCCAACACTGATCCAACCATGTTCTTGCTCTCTGACCAAAGCGGAGACTGCTGAGGCTGTTGATATAATGAACTCTGATGGGGACACTCCTCATACACAGGTTCTTCTAACCAAGGAAAACAGATAACTGCAATGTACCAATGAGACCTGCCCAGCAGTGGGGAGAGGGGGGGGAAAAAACGTCAAAACTGTATAAGAAAAAGGAATAAAATAATCTGTGATGGTGATCCCAGTTTTGAATATAGCTGAGGGTATGGCATGCCTCCAGCCTTATCTCTTTCTGCAGCTGCTTGGCATAGGTAACTCTCAACGACCTTTCACTTTTACTGAGGTTTCCATGTGCAGGTCAGTTATTCAACCAGGCCAAGGCACAGACCATGGAAGTACTACTCCTGATCCATTAACACTACATGCTGCTGTGATTTCTTCACAGAAGAGAAGTGCACTTAAGTGCACAGGAATCATTATAATGACACACAAATTATTTTGAAAAATACATGAAAGTAATTTTCAGTAAAACATAAAAGAAAGATGCAAAGTTTACTCAAGGCAACTAAATAAAAAGTTAACTTTTGAAGAGACTTAGAAATTACTCATTCCACATCTGTTATTTCTTCAACATCTAACATATTAATTTCCAACAATCTAAGCTCATAGTCATAAATCTTTCTATCACTAGAATATTCACATATTTAAATCTTTAAATATCAGAAAAGGTGTCTTAGACTTACTCCTCATTCACAGGCACAAAGATATAATCTTTACTGAAGATGTTTATATGACGAGTCCATGTTCTCACTCTTCTATGTCTTCTCTGTGCCTCCCTGCAGAAACCAAACGACAACTGTTGTTCAGATTTGGTTTTCGTTAAAGCAAGTTAGAGGGATTAGTACTCCTACACCTTCCCAATCCCTCAACGGTGTTTTCATTTACGCTTGAAATTTCCACGACAGAGGGAAAAAAAAAAAAATCAGTACACCATTAAGCCCAAGTGACTAACAACCCGTTTCTGAACCATCTGAACCAACCAGCAGATCGAGGAGCTGGCTCAATCTACTGCCTAAGCAGTGTGATTAAGAGAAGCAACGGGTCTTGAAGTTAAGTAGCTATGTTAGTTGAGATCAGTTTCATTGATAACAGTACAGAGCCCAACTTTCCACTATCCATTTATCCAAAAAAACCCACAGAAGCAAACAAAACCCAAACTATCTGTAATCACCTAAGCATCTAAACCCAAACACAAAACTAGAATTTCCAACGCTATGTCCTGATCAGGAGCAGCTACAGTCCTTGAAATATGGGGAATGGAATTCTAGTTCCTCAAGAAAATTATGGACAGTCCAGCCTTGTAAAAGGAATCAGATCAAGGCACAACATCATTCTTTACATGGATAATTTTGTCTCCACCTCAGAACATTCTGGGTCCGAAGACAGTAAAATGATGGAAGACATTATCTCAAGCACAGTTCCCTGAATTTCTGAAACATCATTGAAAATATTACAGAAGGTGCATATTTTTCCTTTAACACAGCTTTCACCCAGCAGTGACTGTATTACAGACAAGATGGCACACATCTTTGTGCCTTGTTTGGCCCCGTTTGCCAGCAGAATGAAAAACCTGGGGACTTCATGGATAATTGAAAAAGAATCACTTCAGAGAAAAATTAAAACACCTTCAACAAGCTGAATGATGAAAACGGAATGAAAGTTGCTTGGAGATCATCACTGTAAGGGCAAGCTCCAAACATCAGTGCTGAGAAGGAAAAGAAAACACCCTAGGCATGGTCCTACTCTTTATACAGTGTTAGCTGGAAACACAAAGTGATAAAGGTTCTTGAGCTCTTAATACCTTTTTGGGAAACTGTCCAATTCCAGTGTGGTTAAGTGTGAAAACACAAATGCATAAACATGGTACATAAGAAAATGTTCTTACTAACAATTTGGAAAATAATTTATTACCAGTATGTAAAATTAAATGTGGTAAATGTAAAAATATTTTAGAAGTGCAATTTCTCAAAATTATGCCTACCTTGCAAAATTGAGTTTATAATTAAAAGATCAAAACACATGAATAATTGTCTGAAGTAAAAAATCAGATAAAGTTGGGGAAAGCCAATAACATCTTCATCCATATTCAGTATGAATCACATGCAGATGGGGATGGTCTGCAGAACTTCCAAGTGGCATTGACAGACAGCTTATTTCTGGTCATAATGGCATCTAAAATGAACTTACGAAACTTTGAGATCCCCCTCGGAGTTTTTTTCTGTCCTGGTCAGGCACTTATAGAAGAAACTGCTAAAAATATGTGTGCGATCAGCAAGATGTTTTGGCGCCTTCTCCAACAACAGGTATCTACCGAAGGAAAAAGAACTTATTACCTTCCTTTTCTAGAAAGTACCATTACAGATCAAAAAAAAGAACATTTTAATGCCTCCTACTCAGGTTATGCTTGCTCTCAGTTGCCTTCTCAGCCACTAATCACGCCAAAAACTTTTCTCTCTACTCTATTTTCAATATGCATGTGGGTGGACAGCATCAGAGTATGTAACAGCCAAGAGCTACTAAGAACACAGTTGGGGTTTTAGCTCACATTTGTCCTCCAGTATTAATGCTTCTCAGTTTATTTTGACAGTTATTTTTCTAGTCCTCACAATTAAGACAGGCTTGAAAACCTAACCAAGTATAAGCCTATGGACTGCATATAAAAAAAGCAGTTGAGTGCTAACAATTGTCCATTTTACTTCTAGAGGATATGCATGTGAAAGTTAAAATATTCTACAGGTACTCATTCTGTATGATCTTACTGTTGATTATTCTAGTATAAACATCAGCTTCTATCATCCTAGAAGGCCAAAGCTCTTGTAGCTGCAGTCATCCCACACAAGGTGCCCCCAGCTTCAACCGATGACTTGGGCAACACAAGTCATACATGACATAGCTTGCAACACAGTGAAAACTGAAAGTGTGGGAAGTTCTAACAAATTTAAAGAGCAGAGGGGTTTCTGCAAGGATTGCGTTAAAATCCTTTAATCAAATCTTCCTTTTCTGGCAAGATGAAGCTACAGCTACTGAGAGGACCATGCTGCATGATTTTTTCTAGTCTAGAGCAAATTACAGGTGGCTTTGCTTTAAAATCACACTGAAACACTCTGTTACACACTTCCTTTCCCACACCTCTAGACAAGAAATTTTAACTGGCTTCCTATTCCTCGCAGTTACCACAGCCATGCTGGATGCTAAGCAAAATGGAATTCCTGCAGACAACCTTCAAAAAAAAAATCGGGATTCTGTTTAGGCTTGTCAGCACAGGGAAAATAAACCTCATCTTTAGGAAATGCTGGCTCATCAGAATAATTCCTGAACTCTTGCACAGAAGAGCAGAGGATACTCCACTCAGTAAATAAACTACCTAGTACAGACCTTCTACTTTGTTCAACTACCTGCCTAAAACCACTCAGCGCTTTCTCTTCTGTGAAGTCACCAGAACGCTTTTTTCCCCCCAGCTATTCTGTCTGGATTACATCACAGCTCTTTAGAGGGACAAGAAGAATGAAATCGAAACAAAATAAATTGTTGAGAATACATAAAAGCTTTCAAAAAAATCCCAGTTCACAAATTCATCATGCTCTTACTTCCAAAATTGTTGCCATCATATTTAGTGACCAACATTCACAGTAACATTCATATCCAGGCCAGGTCCCAGAAAGAACAGTACAATTAAGGCTGTGACTACTTACTTAAGGTAGAAATCAATGATGACATCATTGAGAAATTCTCCAAATTCTAAGCACTCTAGGTCTTCTCTTGTGACTCCCAGTCCTCCTTTTGCAGGTGGAGGTGGATAAACAATTAAACTAGAAAACACAAATAATGTTGTAACAGTGACAAACTGTGTTTTACATGATGTTCTTCTGGCTGTCCCACATGTAGACGATTTTCTACAAAACATGTTAAAAGTGGTTGTTTGCAAAACTGTTGACCAACTCAGAAGTCCCTGACCATTTCTTCCTCCAAGAGTTAACTGTTAACAGAAAAAAACCCCATGCACCCTACTGCACCCTGAAATTTTGAGAAAACCTTTGAAAAGGAGATTTTGTACCTTCATCGTGTTTTTCTATTTTTGATGAAAGTAATTGAGAACTGGGTATATAAAAAGTGAAGAAATACTAGGGGACATGGTGTTAAATGGTATGAACGGACAGGCATTTTCTATTCATAAAGACTCCAATAAGGACTCCCACATCTAACGGGAAACTTGGGTTTACACACCATGCAGCACATGTACTGTAAGCTGTTTGAAACTGCCAAAGTTACTTCTAACATGAGTATTTAAAATGTATTTGAAAAGTTCTAGATTAACAACCATATTACTTAACTGGAACCATGAACTGAGTATTTTTGCTGTTGCAGAAACTAAACCAACTGCTACACTGTCAGCAAAAACAGTGATGGCAAAAGGCAAGAGCTCTTAAGAGTGGTTTACTTCACTCATGCTTGCCATACTACAAGTAAGAGGACGCACAGGCTCATGCAGACAGAACTGAGGTACGTGAGCGCTCCTGTGGTATCTCACTGCATCACACTTGTGCATTCTCATTTCTTATGTCTTTTGTTAACCAAGCTCCTGTACTAACTAGTAAGTTGTATGACAACCTAGTTACAACCAGATGGAGCGTGACAGAACAGTGAAGGAAAACATTGTTCAGATTAAAAAAAGGTTCAGCTTAAGTTAGCAGTAGTTTTGCTGTGATACAGACTTAGGCAGACACTCACAAAGGCCATGAGGTCCCTACCCTCCCATTGATGCATTCATGACTACAAGCTACCTGAAAGCCTGTAGTCGCAATTCAGGTATTGTCTAATTTCTGTGAGATTTTCTCTCATCCTGTAACACACCCATTTTGTCTGCTAACTATTAGGATGGAAACAGGAGTAACTACATTCATACTTGGTGATACTACAGATTTCTAGCACATCTTTCATGGGAACTTTCAAATCAACTAGAAAATGCTTCTGTTCCAGCAATTTGTTTACTCAATTTGTTTTATTTTCACCTTTGCATTTATATGGAATATACTTACTTCTTAACTGCTCCAGTTTCTCTTACTTCTTTCCATTCTTCATTCAGTGCAGAGGACAGAGAGATAGAATAGCAACCACTATTCTGCTTATTTGCAAGGGCATAACTGGGCCTGGCCACTTTTGGTTTTGATTCCTACCAGAAAAAAAAACAAACAACAGTAATAGTAAAAAGCATTACACAGCTGGATATGTAAAACAGAACACAAGAAATACAAGCCTGAAGCCCACAGGAGTACCCTGAATCACTAAAAAGGAATCTTGCTGGAGAGCAGAAATGTAAGCATCAGTATTTAGGCAAATGTGGTACTGCTCAGTCAATAAAAAAGTTACGTCCCTCTTAAAATGACAACGTCTTCATCCGTTCATCACCTCTCTCTAAAGCTGTTCAAGCATTATTCAGCCAACTGACACAGAAAGGGTTTTGGAAAAGAGGACCTGAAAGGATGGAGACAAGTATCAGACTGTCTTACTAGAGGCTCTGTCTGCTTGGAAGCTTTGAAAATCTAGGTCTGAACAATTTGCCTCAAAAATTGACATAGATTTGAACTGGCTGGCTCAATTTTTCAGTTCCCAGTTTCACAGACAGACTGGTCTCTGTGCTTTTTACTGATGGCAACAAACAATTTCTGAAGTGACAATGATATGGGGTTGGGTTTAGACATTTACTACTCAGAGGGAGGTGTATTAACACATTAACTTGCACAGCCCCATCTCCCCAGCAGCCTTTGGAATCATGTAGCATTTCAAGGGGTGCAGCCCCCACAAGAACATCTAGAGATGTCTGGAACAAGTGAGATCCACAGCTCTTCCTGTGCTGGACCCCTTCACTTCCAGTTCAACTGGGAAAGGGCTCCATCACTCATTACTTAACTCCCAACCTGCCGCCCTGGAGACACCCCAGAGGCAGGAAATCCCTCTGGTTCTAGGCATACACAACCATGAGTCAAGCTAAAGCTTCAGGACTATCAGCCACTTACTGATGAGGTCTACACACTGTCCCTCCGCAGACATAATCTAGTTTCCTACAAATCCTGCCCCATTCTGAGAGAGAAATAACATGACTTTTTGACCTATGGATTAAGAAAGAATTTATTTCCTTCAACTGGCTGATCTGAAATTCAGTAGAATATGTGAATGCCAACACATGGTGACAAATGAAGCAACAGCTACTCACTAACCTGAACTGCAGGTTCATGAGCATCTGCGGTGTCCTCTTTTGGCGTGTATTGCTTTAGTAGATCCTTACTGTAACTCATAAAAGAGCTCTCTTCAGGAGAGAGGTCCTTAAACAAGGGTAACGCTTGCTTCAGAGACAAAAAGTCATGGAGATCTGGTGCTCTGTTCCTCTTGCTCACATCTGTAATCAATTCAGTCAGCCTGTCTTCTTCCCATTCTGTGAGTGGTTGTGACAGTTCAAGAAATACAAATTCACTAGATTTGGCTGGAAAAAGAAGAGAATGGATAGTATTAACTATTAGGTTATATGATAAAAAACTTGTCTGCATGCCCAAAGGAGCACAAAGAGGCAACAGCAGGAGGAAAAACCTAAATAACACCCTGCCAGGTTCATCAGAATGGCCATCAACCCCTCAAAGGCCCACCTCCACATGCCCAGAGGAGCACAGGGACACGCTGGCAGGCAAGAACCTTTATTAAGGACTGGGAGGAAGGGACACCCGGTCTGGACTCTTCCCAGGGCTGTACCAGGACGGCCTGAAACCCATCCAGATAAGTCCATGCCAGAGCACCTTTTGGACCGAGGGGAGTGGGGCTTGGTGCAGAGATGTACGGCACACATGATGGGATGCAGGGGAAAAGCATTTGGGGATTGCACAGGGCTTACTATATGGGATGTTTCATGGAAGAACCAAAGAAAGGCAAAAAAAGGCTTTTAGGTGATCTGGGGAGGAACCAGTGTGGGGAAAATATAGGGCTATGGGCATAAAAAGGTCGAGTTGCATCTAAATATAGTACAGCCAGTTCACTTGTCTGCATGCATATGACAGTCTGTACCAGCAACGACAGTGGCCTTGGCAGCTACTATGTCCAGGGCCTGCAACAGGGCAGACTGAGCACCTGAGCCCAGCTGACAGAAGGATCCACTTTGTGTGGGCATATATACACACATATATACATACATGCATGCATTTTCTCACTAGTGAGCCTCCATCCTGTTCAGCCAGAGAGGAGAGCAGGACGAAGCTGCTGGTGCTGTCTGTGTTTGTATGTGTGTTATGTGTCATCTGTGGCCAGCAACGTGGAATATATGTGCGCCCTACATCTCCAGTCTTGCTACTGGTTGGACCTCGGCACGTAGAGCTGCAGCAGCCTCACCCCTCTCAGGCTGCCAGATGCAGCACAATATATTTTCTTCCAATATTAACACACTAAGGCAGCAAAGCAGAATCATAGCAACCATTTCCACAATCTGTAAAACCATCACTGATTTGTTGCAACAAGTCTCTACCAATATTTCAAAATACTGCATTACTACATAGGCATAAACATTCAAGCATGGAAATTTCATGACAACTTCCGAAGGCCTCTCCTACAGCAAGAACGTAATTCAAGGTAAATAAACCTACAATTAAAAAGTGCTTCACAGCTTCATGCTCAGATTCCACTCATTTCACTGGCAGCTGTGTCTACAGAAGCTACCAGTAACTTTGATAAACTTGTAACAAGTAAAAGTAACTCACTGCTAAAATTTCACTCAGTGGCTCACTTCAACCTACCTGTGCTCCTTATGTGAATTTAACATTACTTAGGATTTTTCTTCATACAGCATACTGTTAAATTTCACACAGGCAACTGTGACATCATCATTTTGTTAGACGTCATTTTGCTATGACTTTGGTAATGTTAAAAAGCTTGTGTGATTGTGCCACTGAGTATCTGACCAAAAGTTACATTCAGTTTTACAGAGCTTCATGCCAGAAAAACAAATCGAGTCAGTCCGTAAGACCCTATACAGTAAAAAGCCCATTTGGCCTTTAATGGAAACTTTCTCTACCAGTAATGCAATGGCCCAATGCAGTCTTGGCAAACATCAAATCAACCTTTACGTGCCAAGACTTTCATCTAGCATCAGCATTACTCAAAAGTAAGGACACTTCAAATATCCCATTTATTTTAAAGCGAGAGATACTTTATACACAAGCGTAGTTTTAGAAGGCCTCCTCACACAGGTTATACTAACTGTGTTGCAAGGTCTTTTCAAAAAGTAGCAGTGGGTTTGAACCACATTATGTTAGATTTTTCTTCCAAATACAAGTTCTGCTGGTTTTAGCCAGAAAGGAATTAACTTTCTTCCCAGTGGCTGGTATGAAGGTAGGTTTCTGGATTTACCCTGACGAAAAGCACTGATAAGGTGTCTTTTTAGCTGGTGCTGGGGAGTGCCTGCACCAGATTCAAGGTCTTTCTCCGCTTCTGATACTGCAGCTGCATTCCCAGCTCTCGCTGTCTGGCTACAGGCGGTGTAGGGGACACACAGTTCAGGCACCTGACCCAAACTGACCAAGGAAGTATTTCATTCCATAGTACGTCATGCTTGGTATTTAAGCAGGGAGTGGGCTCGGGGGCTATTACACTCTTCTTGATCCTTTGCTAACTCCTTTGTTGGCTCCTTAACTCTTCCATTAGCTCCTTAACTCCTTTGCTGGCTCATTCGTGAGTGAGCTGGTGGGTCTGTTAGCCTTCCTAGTGGTGCTGTTGCTGATAGGGTTCACTCAGGCTCTGCTGCAATCACTCTCGGGTTCTCTGGCTCTGACTCTCACTACTCGGGACCTGGCTGTGTATCAATCAGCGGGTGGTGAACAACTGTATGATGTTTTATTTTCTATTATTTTAATTACTTAGTAGTAGTAGTATTTTTATATATTCAGTTACATATATTATTCATTTATATTCAATTAGTAAATAGTTCTTATCTCAATTTTACAAGCTTCCTTGTCTTTTTCCTCCGATTCTCTTCCTCCACTGGAAGGGGTTGGGGGGGAAGGGAGGGAGGGGTGAGAGCAGCTTCATAGTATTTTGCTAGCTGAGGTTAAATCATAACACAAGTATAGCGAGGCATTTTAGAAGAGCAAAAATGACCAACTTCTCTTTTTAAAGCCACAGGCTTTCCTCAGTATTCCAGAAGCACACCTGCAAAATAACCCCTTTGTTGATACCATATATTGACCTATTCATTGCATTTGAGGAAAGAGATTACTCACACGGCTTGCTGATAACCAACTTCCCTAACTGGGTTTCAATCTGTTCTAAGTAATCCACAGACAACCAGAGGAAAATGATCGTTGTTGAAGAACAGCCACCATCACTTTTCCACAAGCCAAACCTTCTCAGATTCAGAGTATCCACTGTCAGCTTAATATTCTTATTAAGAGCCACTGTAGAAAACAGAATTGAAAATAACCATATTTTTCACAGCCATGGGTAAAGTAATTACTGTAACAGGTAAGACTAGGACATAAGTATGATCAGAGTGTATTAAAATAGCACTTGTAGATTTTATTCATGGCGTTACATAAAATGTGTTGAGAATGTCATACTTAAATCAGTTATATTAAGCTATGTAAAATAAAGTTACGAAACAGTAACACCAAAAGCCACATATCTAAAGGCAGGATTCTTCATGACAAAAATAACGAAGTATTTTTGCTCAGAATAACGACAGTTAGTGCCTACAAATACAGAGGGGAATACTGCAAATCTTGAACTCTTATTTGAATTTAGTCAATCCAATTCAGAACTGCCCACAAACCTTCTCCTAGGAGATATAGAAACCACACATCATTTTTGGAAAATAGACAGAGTGCAAATTTACAGTTATACCACTCTCTCCTTCAGTCTACTCATACATATTTCTTTAATAAACCCACGGGTCTAAAACACTAATCTGAAAAGATTAATGTTCCACCTCAAAAACATGCACAGTCATATTTACTATAGTTCAACACTTAATATATGCATGAATTCAGGAGGCAAGGCCATTAAAACGACAAGTTCACCTTAAAAGTCTAAGACGCTGTTATTAATGCTTACACTATAGACACCAATACTTTTATTTATTGAAAAATGAAGTTTTATACATTATTTAATGACTCTGAAAGCAAATAATATTAGAAATTATTAACAATCTAAATATATACCAAGTATTTTAATGCAATGCTTTAAAGATACAGTTAAGAGAAGGCTAACAAAAAAAGATTTTCTTACCCTGAAGTGGGATCCTAATATACTTCATTTTAAACTGAAATAAGTTTTAAAAAATATAAATTAGTTTGCTTTTTACAAATTCATTAGAAGAAAGTAAGAATTTTTAATTATCTGCACATCTTTCTTTGCTTATAGCCAAATAAACTGAAAACAGTATCATAGAACCATTTACGCTGGAACAGACCCTTAAGAGCACAGAACTATAGAATGGTTTGGGTTGAGAAGGGACCTCAGCTAGTTCCAACCTCCCTGCCATGGGCAGGGACACCTTCCACTAGACCAGGTTGCTCAGAGCCTCGTCCAGCCTGGCCTTGAAGACAGCCAGGGATGGGGCATCCACAACTCCAACATTAACCTAACACTGCCAAGTCAAATATGCCTAATTTGAGACTTAATATTGCCTATTTCACCTAAAACAACACTCCTCAAGTATATACTGCAGAATGTAAATGACAGCAAACTGACTCCCAGAGGTGCTCAGCACTGAGAAATAAGTAGAAAGTTGCACAGCTGCCTACAGGCTCCTTAAGACAACACAAAAAAAAAAAAAAAAAAAAAAAAAAAAAGATGAACACTTGGAACAAATGGAGTTTATGTAGAAGCACCCCATGACAAAGACTGTCAGCTGCACTACTTGACTTAAGGACACTACATAAACAGCCCAGCACTGGGGTGTTACCTTGCTATTTACATTAATCTTTGAATTAAAGGCCTTTGAAGTTTCCACTTACACTGCTGTTATGTTAAAAAGACTTGGCTAAACAAAGAAAGCTTTATTGTCACTTTGACAGAGGGTTGTCACGTACATTGAGTGAAGAGGTTTCTCTTACGTTACCATGTAAGCACAAAGTCGTTTTTTTCCAAGAAAAAATTTCACTTTCCACCCAAAAGCATTGTTTCTAAAAATATTTCAACTCATCCCTCAAATGATGCTGGCATATTGATTTAGGAGATTTGCATGAAATGTTCTCATTACTGCATGAGCACTGCTGCTTTGTGAAAAGCTGAAATACCTATACAATCCAAGATTTCAAAATGTCTTACTGTAAGCAAAAGAAGTATATACGCCTTCAAACATTTACCTTTCAGTCCCAATACATAGAGTGAGCCTGGTCAAAGCTCTGTTGGAACCCCTGCAGCTGGCATTTGAAGTACACCTTCACTTCAACACCCTGTGAGTAGCACATTGCCCATGTACTAATGCTTTTCGTGTTGTTCTTATGCTCTTTCAAGCTACAAAACAAGCCATTTTCTGTTTAAAAGGGAAGACTAGTACACAGCATATATCTGAACTCTGATCGCTATGGATTACTTCATTCTAATATCTGTACTGTTTCAGAGAAAAGTAATTGGTGTTTATTTCAAGTGACATTAACTCTAACATGGTCATCATTTTCCGCTAGAATTCATTAAAAGCTTCCTCAGCTTTCTCTTCCAGTAGAGCATTTATACAGAACCTTTACATCTGAAAACTGGGGCCACAGAAAATCTCAGTTCACTCTTCTACTGACAGCAATGCAAACATAGGAGGTAACGGAGTACACACTCCATTGTTTAGCCAAAACAACCACCAAACTCAGTGCTTCAACCCTAAGTACCACCAACTTTGTTTGACCAGAATTTTAATTTTTAAACAGTCTCAAAATATCACCACAATAGAACAACTTACCATAGCAGGACCTGTTGATAGCCATTTAAATTTCCCAATGTATAGACTATCAAATTCAACAGCCAATCCTGGGTTCATCTGTCTTCTAGGTGTGCTTCCAGAAGGTAAGCTGGTAGGACATTTATCTTCAACTGCCTCTGTTAAAAACTGGAAAAAAAAGAGTATATTTACTACAGGGATTTAAATGACAGACTCCCCTTCTGTAACTTTAGGAATTTTCTCTTTATGTTTGTAAGAATTTATTCCACAAATTCTCAACTTGCATACAAGAATCACATACTAAAAAGCTGTAAATGTATTAAAATCATTACTGAAACTGTCCTTAAGGGCCTAACAGTATCTTAACTCCACTTCTAAAGTTCCCATTGCCAAGTCATAACCTGTGCTCTTCATTAATCTAGAGCCAAGTAAAAACCCAAACAACAGAGCAACAAAAAACACCTCTCTCTTGTTATCAAAAGTACAGAATCCAATTCAATGCTTAAATAAAAATGGTGCATCTGTGAGAAGAGGCAGCAATGACTCTTCTGACTTGTTTCAGGATTACAGAGCAAACTCAAATCTGGGTCAAAGCAAGCCTAATCAAGTCTAAAATGGCGCAACAACCTTTATGGCTAGTTGTTGGTTCAAATTCCACTGCTAGCCACATAGGAAACAACCTTTCTCTCTGCTGCCAACGAAGATACTTGAAATTCACCATGCACTTAATTACAACAGAGGACTGGACAACAAGAAGAAACTACTGACTTGAACTATGGTCAATACAAAACACCACGTGGAGAAAAAAACCCACAACTTTTCACAGACATATCTTCACCATGTTCCCCAATAGCTCATATTACTATTTGAACCATCCTCTTTTGTAATATTATAGACTTCCAAATGTTTAATTTCAAAATATGAAATACAATGTATGTTGCAAAAACACTCAAGCTTCAGAGCCACAGACCTTCTCTAAAGACTGTCCAGAACTCTAGCTGTGAAATAAATTACTGCAGCTACTGCTTGTTGCTGGGACTAATCATAACTGCTCTAAGCATTTCACTTTTTTCTAAAAAACAAGGAAAAAAAAAAACCCACTTGAAAAATATAGAGTTGGCATAACAATACACAGGCCAGACTCTGGACTACCTGCTCTGTGTGACCTTCCATCTTCTCTTCCAACCGGTTTGCTGAGAAACAGAAGTCAGCCTGTTGGTCTGTTTCTTTGTTGGCAGTGATGTTATCCTGCGGCAGCCCTGCGCATTTTGGTTCAGAAGATCCATCTTCATCATCACTGGAAAGGACAACTAAAGAGGAAAAAACAAGTATACTGCAAGATGCAGGCTTGAAAAGATATAATGCATTGTGGATTTCAGATGAGCAAAGAATTCTCTCTTGCAGTATGTAATGTCAAAGTACATTGCCCAAACCAGTCAAGGTCTGCATGCAAGGCATGCTACAAGTACTGCTTTGTGTCTTTATAAACATTTTTTACCCAAGATCCTCAAAATAATATTTGACTATTTAAAAAGCAGAGCACAACACTGCTGCTTCAAAGGCGAGAGTATTTTTTTCTCAGTCTAAGCACCATCAAAAAGTTCAGGCTTGATTTTCCATAGCCACAGAATCAGCTGCAAAGTAAGAATTAGAATTTGAGATTCCTTCCGTCCATCCTGCTTCCCAAGCACAAGACCCTCTCACTCCAGTAGAGGACACTGGCACGAAGCACTGCCCTCTAACCTGCACAATGCATTACTAACAACATGATCCCTGTCTTCAACATTTTGTTCTGTACATGGCGTCAGTCATGCCTGAGTTCTCCTTGCACCTCAGCACACCAGCAGCAATCAGCAGCAGCACAGACACACTACGTACTTGGGTCAACTAAACCAAGCTGCCGATCACCCCTGCAGATTCTGTTCCGCAGCTTGCTCAGGTACTGTGACGCGTCCATCTTCAATTTCCTGATGGTGCTAATTCGTGGTGAAATCGCATCCTCGCTGGTGGCAGACAGCTGCTTCTCTGACAAATTTCTGGGAGGAGACTGTGAGTTAGATTGCTCTGTGCAGCTGTGAGCAGGCCTTAAGTGGTTGTGGGTTGAATTGTCTTTACAGTCTCTCTCTAATGGCTGTGGAACACAATCTGGCACCAGAACTGGATTAGATCTATGACTTCGTCCATCCTCACAGGGTGTTCTGCGTCGAGACCGAGCTGCACTCGATCTCTGCTCCTTCTAGAAAACAGGAATCAGAGGCAGGATATATGTTTATTTTTTGACATTTCTATGACGTGACCACTAAGACTTAGCTAAGTGCTAGACAAAATGATGATGGCTTAATGCAGCTGCATTTAGAGCTCAAGTCAGGGCAATTTCTCCCTCCTCGTATTCCAAAGGTTATTACATATAAAGGTATGTGGGACAACTCTTTAAAAGTCTGCTGTGACCCTCCCTTCAAACCGAACATGAAACAATTTCTGATGTTTTCAGCAGATCTCTCCCTGTCCGACACAGAAAGAGCAAGCACCAGTGGCTGTCATTACTCTGCTCATGTGTGGCTTGGTCAACGGGCTGAACACGACTCAGCAACTACCTGCTTCAGTGGGGTTTTAATCAGAAAGTTAGAGATACCTTTACAGTATTCAAAAGCTTAAAGTACAAACAGTGATTTACACTGACTGATTGATTCCCTCAGTACTTTTTCTTTCTCCCCCCCCAAATCAATGGCAGATAAGAATACAACTTGAGGGAAGCGTACCATACGCTGAGGCAGCAGCAGAAAGAGGACATCTGCAAGATTTCAATAACCCCAGGTACACTTTATAATTTTTGTATCAAAGTCCCTAATTAGTTCTACACCACCTGCGAAAGAAGCTTTGCTTAAGTAGCTAGATGCCTTATGGCCAAGACTGTTTCACTGTGTGCCTCTGTCAGAAGGAAACACTGCCATTCATCTCTCACCACCTTTCTGCTACAAGCAGCATACTCAGATGCTATGGACAGAAGGGCATATACTCCCTCTTCTTGATGCACTACCAAACTACTTTCCCCCAACAGGTATAACAGTATCCCTAGATACCCTACTTACAATTCTTCTATTTTAGATGCTGCTGCTCCTAAAGTGTGTGTGCATGTGTGTATGCCAACACGTACATTAAAATTAAGTGCGACTTACAGACAGCAGAAGTGATTTTTCTGGAATGTGTGCAGTACAATCATCAGAAATATGGCCACTAGATCTTCTTTTCCTTCTCTCAGAATCAAAAGAGCCCGATTCCTTCTGACTAAGAGTGGTGCTGTTCATGTTTCTGCTCCTCTTCTCCAGTTCATCATAGTTCTTGTTTTCTATGTCAGAAAAAAAAAAAGTGATTTAATGGGTTACCCTTAAAAAATCTTTGTATTTCTTCATATCTGTTGTGTCTTAAATAAAATGCATGGAAGAAGATACCTTCCACGACAGTTCTTTCCTTTTCTAATTGTGTGTGGCTGCCAAAATATATTCCCTAAAATAATTGAGGAAAGATTATTATAGCACAATTACTTAAGATAAGGCTGTAATCAAATTCATAGCTCCCTTCAAAGTAAGAATTCGCACTCCTTTCTCCACAGTCTTTTTTATTTACTCCTATTTAAAAACAGCTATTTGATATACTTTATTACATCTGTAAAAAACTGTATTTTGAGGAAACACGTACACTGCGTGCAATGCTGGTTTTATCTGTGCTCTCCCCATAATACTAGACTGAAAAAAAAGAAAATTTGCCAACACTCTCCAAAATTCACATTTAAATGCCAGATTATTGGTCACTACAAACCATTCATCTGCAGCTCCGGTCTTCTAAAACTGAAGACGTTATTTTTTTCTGGCTCGTGAGAAGCCTTGCTCAATTTACACACATCACCATCTTTCTTTCTCAGGCAACGGTCAGACCTGTAAAGAACATTAACTATGACTCATCTTTAATTTTGAAAGAATACTGAATAAAAATCCCAGCAGAAACAAGCATTGGTTAGACGACAGATTTGTGTCTGTCTCATAAGCCTGTGGAGCTTGGCAATGAAACACAAACTAATTCAGTTCCCGTATGGAAATACACAGATACTCTGGCGTTATTAATGAAACGGATGCTTCTAAAAGGTGCAAAGAATCTGACAGGCTTGACATCAGACAACGAAATATTATTTTGCTGTAAAGCATGACTGCAACATATACACAAAACGGAAGAAAAGAGAGAACAGTCAGTTGAGCATACCCTTGCTTTTATCATGAATGCGGTGGGAATGAGGCAACGTAGTACATTTTTAATTTAGATTTAGAACCGCTAATAGAATCCACTGAGTTCCTGCAATGAGAAAATACCTGAAATAGAAATTCCTGCTCAAAAGGGCCTGAAACTGTAACTTAGAAGGAGATAGGGGATAGAACATGAATGAGGAAGAAATAGAAAAGGATAATTGTATGAGAAACTAGGTAACCTACAGGTGTTCAGCTCAGCTTGTAGTTTTCTAAAAAGAACATGCAAGACAATAATCAGTTTTGGTGTGTTTTTTTAGTTTTATTAGCTTTTTTATAAACAGAATATATTCAGAAGGTACTGATAGACTGAACAGTACGACATCCTCACATTTCAGGTCTCAGCTTGTAAACATACTCTCAACTTCTCCAGGGACTAGTTACAGCTGACTAAAGTCTACATAACCTTATTTTGGTTTCTAGTGTATTAGGATAACAGTTATATGTTCGTCTGATATCTTCTCACATGAACTTAATAACACTCACTATGCAAGATGCCTGTTCTGAAAATTTATCAGGGTTACAAAGTAAAAGAAACTAGCCTTCACCATCTCTGCCTCATTTTCTGTGAGAGTTGAAAAATAAAAAAAGAAAACAAAGAAGATTTCATAGATAAAGCAGTTTTATGCTGCTCTGGAATAAGCTGTTCCATTCCTCCCTTTGTCACCTCGCTTAATGCAAAGGGATTTTGTGTTCATTGTTTTATGTTGTGCCTAACTCAGAAAGCTGCCGTCTCCAATTTGTAAAGAGATAAATGATCATCACAGCAACTGAAATCACAGACAGTTGAGCCTGGACCCATAAAGAACATCACCAACAACAGGAAAGAACATTCTTGACATCTCTAACTAGACAGCCAATACTGTTGGACACTTTTTGAACAGATGCCTGTTCTTCAGTGCCATATCTGTAGTCTGGAGTATTGCTGCTCTTTGGGAATACTATAAAGACAAATAAAGATTTCCAGAGTACTCTGATACTACAGTGATGAACAGTGTATTAGCACCATAAAGAAATTACTGATTGTCTTTCCATTTACAAAGAAACATGAATTAGACCATATACAGAAAAAGCATTCAGTAACCACTATTACTCATTCTGTACAGAAGATTCTGCCTTGTTCAATATAAATCAGGCAGCTCTAGTTCTGGAATAATCTCACGTCAGAAAACTTGATTTTGGAACCCACCTCCCTCTCTCAAATAATTGTATGCGTAACAGCTATATCGATTTGGCTGCCATAAAAGACCATACAAAACCATTAAATGTTGTTTTGTTTGTTTGTGGTTTTGGGCGTTTTTTTAGCATTGGTTTTACATGATTATCACAATTCAGGCATTTCAACACTAGGAAATATTTCACGTCAGAAAACTTGATTTTGGAACCCACCTCCCTCTCTCAAATAATTGTATGCGTAACAGCTATATCGATTTGGCTGCCATAAAAGACCATACAAAACCATTAAATGTTGTTTTGTTTGTTTGTGGTTTTGGGCGTTTTTTTAGCATTGGTTTTACATGATTATCACAATTCAGGCATTTCAACACTAGGAAATATTTCAATAGGAAGGTTTCAGCTTTTCCCTACACATATTTGCTCTATACACATATTCTGCACATTTTATTTTCCCTTCCAATCTTTGCTAATAACTCAGTTTAAAATGCACCTCTTAACAGATCTGTGCATAAGCTAGGAAGCTATGGCAGTATATACTGAAGTGACCCCAACAGCCATGAGAAACAAGTACAAAAC